GGAGAATGATCCTGGAGCACAAGAAGAAAACACGTAAGACGCTAAAACATCCAGGTATGAGAAAGTAGCTATAATGTCTTAGCCTTGAAGTTATACCACTGTGGTTTTACAACATTCTGGTGGAGAAAGGTTGTGGCGCCTCCGTTGATATGCCGTTTGTAAATGGCTTGATGGAAAGCAGGTGTATAGTCGGGGAGGGTGTATAGTCGGGGAGGGTGCACAGCTGATTTTAGCAGGTGAGTGGAGGTTGAACCGGGAGCCAGGAGTGACAGCCACCACGCTCACACAAACAACACAGACAGGGGAAAACAAACAAACAAACAAACACAAAGGAGACGGCTGGAGGAGTACAGCCACCACAGCGTTACCTAATGCAACTCCACACTACATCTTACGGTGCTGTGTACCGGAGGAGAGAGAGAGAGGAGCGAAGGGGGGGAGAGAGATGTATTACGGTTTCCTGATAAACGTTTTGTTTGATAGGCTTCAGCTGTGGAGAGTATGTGCTGCAGGGAGGTGGATGCACCTCGCACAACGCACCCAGGAACGAAAGCTAGCTCCGGTCCTTTTCCTGTTAGGGAAACAGTGGACTCGATGCCATGACAGGCTGGAGTTTGTGCAACCTGCACAAACACAAGCTCCCCATGATTAAAAATGGTGAAATGCAATGTAAAATTATCAAAAAAATACCAGCTCACTAAATCACAATCGCTTAAACCAACTACAAACTACTACCGCGGATTGGGCAGAGAAGGAGTCCGAGAAAGTTGCTCCCCCATGTGACGTAATATGACGCGTTTGACGTTAAAAAAAAAGCAGTTTTTAGTAGCAGAGCTCAAAACGGCTCCTTTCCCCTCTGAATTCCTGCCCTTATGTCTTGTAAAACATATCAAATCCTGCATTAACATTTTTAATTTTAATTTTCAGGCAAGGTTAAGCATAAATGTAGTAAAAAAAAAAAACTTGCAAGTTGCTCTTTAAGGAGATACATTCCTTGTTTATAAAATATATTATTTGATATATAGAAGTTACCTATAATAGTTCTCTTAACTAAACAGTTAACACTACAGACACAGCTGAAGACAATAAAGAGTTATTTGAGCTAGTTAGTTGGGTTAGTCCAGCTGGTGCAGATTTGTTTGCCTCTTACATCTGGACTTTGCTGCCTTTATGGAGTAAAGCACTTCCTGTGTGTCACCATTTGATGAAGACCAGTGCAGCGAGCACGGTGTAGCCGAGGATGAGGAAAAGCACTTTGAGCAGCCGGTCCTGTTTGTCTTCCAGCTCTCGGGAGAGGATCTCAAAGAAGGTGACGAACAGGAAGGTGCCCGCGGCAAATCCCTGCAGCACCACAGACACCACGCTGCCCGCCAGCGTCTGGGTCGACTCGATGCCCATCCCCACCAACATCCCCAGCGGGATCATAAGGCTGACTGTGATGCCCAGCTTAGCGGCGTCCTTCATGCCAAGCGATGCCTTGGCCACGCTCACCCCGAGGGCCATTGTGGCCAGCGTCTCGTGCACAGCCACGCCCAGGAAGAGGCTGGTCAGCTTTGATCCATCGTCCTGCAGGCCAAGCGCCAGGCCCTCGAATACAGAGTGAGCAGACAGAGCCAGCACCAGGCTGGCCAGCCGCAGAGGCCCCGCCCCCGCCAGCTTGGCTGGGCTGAAGTGTCCGTGCTGGTGTCTGTGGGAGCGGTGACTGCCCGCGCCCCCCGGCGTGCCAAGGTTAGAGGAGATGAAGGGCGTCTCGTACTCCGAGTCGCTGCCGGCCTCCGACCCGACGGCATTGAAGGTCTCCAGATCGATGAAGGAAGGCTTCTCTTTCCTGAAGGTGAGCACAGATTGCTCCACGAACACCGTGAGGAAGAAGCCGAGCATCATCATCGTCTCAGCCAGAGGATAGTCGCTGCTGATCTTCAGCTTCTGGAACACGTCGGCCACCTGAGGAGAGCACAAACTTAAGATCAAAAGGAGAAAGACCAGAGGCCTGTACGACGAAGCCGGTTCAACCTAACCTGGATATGTTTGAGTTACCCGGTTGACCTAATCCAAAACAAACGCGCTCTCGCTAAGAGGTCCTATGACACGGGTTATCAACTCGTTAACTCAACCCAGCCGTACCCTATCTAGTTAGGTGCACGTTCACATAAAAGGGGTGATATTTGGAGCGATCGACCAATCGGAATAATGGAGAAACTGTTATTTCACGGTGGAGGAGCAGACGGTGATCATGAGCCGATTTGAAGATTCGAAGCACATAATTAAGGCTAAAAAAAGCAGTACCCTTGCGGCTGCTAAAAGTCGCCAACAATGTTGGCAGCAGATTGCAGACTCCGTGAATGCGTAAGTAAAATACGTATGTAACAGCGTGCACGGCTGAACATCTTTAAAAAGTGTATTGGATGCACGGCAGTTATGTACAAAAATAAATCCGGCGCTTGCAGATTAATTTGTTTGTTTATCGGATAAATAGTAGCCTAATTAAAATACCAAATTGATCATTGAGTGACAGCCTTTTTTTCTTAATAATATCATCGCCCGATGGTCACAAGTGGACTTTAAGCCTAATATTTTTGTAATCCTTTTCATTTATAGCATTTTTTTTTATTCAAGCTGTACATGACTTTTTTTTTCATTTTTCAGATGTAACCCCAGCGGGTCTAAAAGGACCTAGAGCAGTGGTCACCAACCTTTTTAAGCCCAAGATCACCGACCTCGGCCTAGGTGAAAGGCGAG